TACGTCGTCGCCAACTGCCCGCGGAGGCTAACTGATCTCCAAGGCAATGAAGCCGACTATGAAGAAGCCGTCAAAGGCGAAATTGCCTGCCAATCCGGCCAGACAGCGGTTAGCGTTCGCCCTAGTCGTCACGACTCGAAAGACTTACCAGTCAAGACACTCCTCGTGTCTTTCCTCAAACCCACGCAGAAACCCTGGCGGCTTTTCGGCTCCAGCAGACTCGCCCGATACATCGACAAACCTATTGCGCCTAGCCAATGCGACAAATGCTGGGACTTCCACGCCCGGCATAGCTGCGACCGCCGCCCATCCTGCAAACGATGCGGAAAGCCGCAGCACCAAGACTCAAACTGCTCTGCCCCAGCGCAGTGCTCAAATTGCCTAGGGCCACATACCGCGGATTCTAGCGAATGCCCTGCACGACCCATTCGATCCCATGGCGTTTATCGTCGACTGACACAAGAAGAAAGGAACCGCGTGCGAAAGATGGGAGCACAGCTATTCGCCCATCGAGCACGTCAAACTGAACAAAATGAACAAGCTGCCCAACCAGGCCCGCGATCGCCACTAGCACCGCCTCGCGTGCCCGAACAAGTCCAGCTGCAAGGTACAGGCTTGGACCCGCCTCACGAACAGCAAAGCAGCGCCGCACCACGGCCGCGCCCGTCTCAACAAGATGAGTGGAGTGAGCCGAAACGCCGCGAACCCGCGCCACAGCCTGAGAGCGTCCACTCTGCCCTCAGCCCGGCCGCGACCATGTCCCCGCCAGGCAGCAGCGTAGTGACGGACTACCAGCCCGAAAGCGACGATGAGACGCCTAGATCTCCGCTCAAGAGAAAGCGCGTCACACGTGCCAACCCAACCGCGTCACTCATATGACAGGGCGCCATAGAGACAAGACCAGAAAGAAGACCATTCGCGTTTTCCAGGCCAATGTTGGCAAGATTCCGCCGGCGCATGACTGTGCCCTCGCCCTGGCCGACGCCGAGCAGTACGACGTCGTCCTACTGCAGGAGCCGTGGACAGAAACCAAAGAAGGCCGCTGTCTCACCAAAACGCATCCCGCATACGACACATTCTCTCCGGTCGACAGCTGGGTCAACAACAGCACCCGCCCGAGAGTCATGACGTATGTCCGGCGTCGCCCCGGCCTAACGGCCGGGCGGCCCGTGTCAACCCGTGACATTCTCTGGCTCACCATCAACAATATGACGGTAGTCAACTGCTACCGGCAGCCTGACTTCGACGAGGCTCTGGATATACTTCTAGCCTGGAACCCGCCGAGCCGGTGCCTGGTAGCTGGGGACTTCAACTCTAAACACTACAGCTGGCAGACCGGTCGTCTCGACGGCCGAGTGTTCTAATGAAGGTCCGCGACCAGAATCGGCGCAAGCAACAACAACTTGGCCAACCACTATTCGAACCTCGTTTTTCTTGATACCGTCGCTACAGTGCGCGGAGAGTGCCAAAAGGGGTAGTACGAAACATCACGTCATAGAGACACATCCTTCGGACTGTATTACACCCTCCCCACCTCCGGTGAGGGTGTCAGCATATTTTACAATGGTGGTACGCTCTGCAGCCGATTAGCTTACAGGTCCTGAAGAGCTTGTGGACATAAAGACATACACTCCTGACTGGTGTTGAAATGACCTCGTCAAACCATGTCTTGGACACTACCTTATGGCGGTCACATGTTGCCAACATCCCCAGCAGGAACACCGGGAACAGGGGCGTCTGTGCTGTAAATAGAAAGCCAGACGTTGGCATCACTCTAACACACGCCGTCAATTTATCCAGAGTCGACACAACGCCAGTGTCGTTTCGAGTCAGTCTAGCAGAATGACGTTGACATGGAGCCGGGGCGAGTTGTGGCATTGTGGAAACACGCGCCCAGTTCTGTATGGACATGGAGTAAGTGGGCGGTTGACCAGACCCAGACGCCGCTTTCTGGGCGTCGTTGAGCGGTGTCTCCCGCTACCGTGTCTTCCGGTTCCTGACAAGCAGACCACACCATTCAAGTGTGGTCAGGTGTGGTCAACCTGGCTCGCGCAATCAGAAAGAAGAATTTGGATATGGGGCTGCATCCAGATGAGGTGGCAGCATGACACTCCGTGCCATGCGTAGACAGCGTCATCCAACTCGTCTCATCCTGCTCGCTGATTTGGATTCGCGTATGGTGTGCCAGGGCCATGTGCTGTGCGACGCTGCGGGTACGCCGTCCAGTTTTCGACATGCAGATTACTCTTTCAAGAGCGTTCGATTGTCCTGTTCTTCACGTGGCAGTTACCCACCGATAGTTGGCTTCGTGTCGCGCCGTTTGCCTGCATCTCACTTCGCCCGCTCCGTGACGTGGTCGTTTTGTGTCGCGAATCATGTAAGTGGATGCGGCGGCCGGGACCCGCTTCGTCCGATGCCTGACATGCAGACCACCAAGGGCAGGGACGTGCGCCGACCAATTCTTCTGCTTCGTGTTGGCAGCTACGGTACATGTCGGTTTTTTCCCGACATTGGTACGTACCGGCAGCCAGAGCTTGCCGTGCAGATCATTGCGAAGTAGGGGGAGACCATTTCGTCCAGTTCTTGCGTCGCGTGTGGCAGCTTCAGTACATGTCAGCTTCGCAACGTGGTTGCATGGTGACGGCCAGTTCTGCCGCGCAGATCATTGCGGATGGCGGTGGCCACATCGTCCGCCTGGGCCATCAACATTCAGACCCGGACGAACGCCGCCATGCAGGGCGCGAAGACGGACAAGATGCCATTAATTCGTCCAATTCCTTCATGTGGACGGCGTCGTCCGGTTCCAGACATGCCGCTCGCTGATGTGGAGCCTGTGCCGAGACGCAGTCGCAGGGGTTTGTGCCGTCTAACTGCCGACTATGGCAATGGCGGACATTGTGCAAAGCTTGACAAGCAGATCATTGTAGCACATGCGGTCTTGGCACATTCTTCGGGTTCACGCTACGTCGCAGTTAAAGTCGGTTTGTTGACGTCGTCTGGTGGCATCTGGTGCTGCCGCGTCCATCGCTTCCTGCCGTCCAGTCTTTGCTTGCCATTGGCTGGTACATGTCATGTCACCTTCTCGACGTCGTTACGTGGTGGGGGCGTCCATTTTCACCATGCAGGACGTTATGGGGTCACAGGACCTGATTTTGAATGTGCAGATCTTGTGCGGTACAGTATGCTGCTGCCGCGTCCGAAGGCGGCCAGTTGTCCAGTTGGAGAGATTTGCAGCGGCAATGACACTGAAAGGTAGAAACCAGCCTTCTGTCCTAGTGTGGGCAAAGGGCGAGTCAGCTCGCAAGCGGCCATATTGTCGACTACAGTAACGTGCAGCTTGGTCGGGGGTGCGGAAGTAGCACCCCATGGCAGCAAAAAGTGAACTTCCCTGACCTCATCCACACACCCCCAGAAACTCATCCTCGCAGCTAAAGCCTGCCCTGATATTCCCATTTTTGGAAGCCATGCTGGAAGGCCACAACCTCCCGGCGTACCTGCATCGGCCAACTCCTGATGTGCTTGGAAGGACACAACGCCTTCCACATTCGTCACACCCTAGGAGTGCCTGTCACTTGTGCAGCTCCTGTATGTAACCGGGACATCTGGGAAGTGACAGGGAGAGCACTCAGGCTGAGGCATACATGGCTTAATTGTCAAATAAGCAGATAGCCAGGCCACATTCGAGCGGGGACGGCGGCGTTGTGATATCCTGGAACCTTACGGCTGCTGAGCGGGCTTGCATGAAGGAAGCGGCCCATTTCACAAGGTTCAGTGGCCATCCCTGTTGACGCAGACGCAGGATGAGCCTGTTGCGCATGACGGTGTCGAAGGCGCCCTGTACGTCCATAGTAACCAATGTAGCGACCATGCCGCGGGATAGAGCCACCTCGATATCGTGTATGAGGGCGGCGACCAGGTCTACTGCTGACCGCTTTGGGAGCGCACCAATCTGTTGGGGCTGCAGGACGCCATAATGGATTGAGGCCCAGGCGAGGCGGCGAGCGATGAACCTCTCAAGCCCTTTGCCGAGGCAGGACAGCAGAGATATCGGTCTCCAGGCGCGGGGCTTGGAGAGGTCCCGTTTGCCGGGCTTCTCAATCATGACGACTTCTGCTTCCTTGAATCTCCGAGGGTGATAGCCTATCGTAAGGCATCCCTGGTACAGGCGCTGGACGTGTTTGCCGATGGCAGGCCATGCCGTCCGAAGTAGGCGCACCGTGATGTTGTCGGCTCCGGGTGAGGTATTGCCTGTGCGGAGCAGAGAGTCTTGGACCTCTTCGATCGGTACATCTGCTTGGAAGGGAATGTGCGTGGTGACATCCACGGGTATCCATGGGTCGGAAATATCGTCGGCGGCCGTCCTCCGCTCAAGGGTGGCCTGTCGCAGAGCTTCGGCCTTGCCAGTCTGAGTCTCGACGATCGTCTCGCCCACTTGCAGCGGTGGGGGACGGAACACGCCCGAGCTTGTCAGCCAGCGCGTGACTTTGAAGATATCCTTGCCCTCCTGGACTCCGTTGATGAGATTGCGCCAGTACGCCCTTTTGGCTCTTCGGACAACGACTCTCAGTTCGCGGCGGGCGGTTTGTACCTCGTAATTGAAGCCCAAGGGGAAGGCGCGCCTCACACAACGGAGCTCGGCCACGGCGGCTATGCACTCCTCGTTCCACCAGGGAGCTCCCGTTGGCTGCCGCTGGGATTGTCTACCCGCGGCGCGGGCGGCTGTTTGCATCAGGTCGATGATCGCGTTCGACAGCAAGTCGAGGTCACCTGGGGTCGATGCCGCAACAGGGATCGTCGCAATCCCGGCCTCTATGTTTTCTGTGTAGCGCTTCAACTCGTCGTCAGTGGCTAGCAGGATCTTGCCCTTGGGTAGCTTTGCTGGTGTCAGAGCGGGAAGAGAGATGCTCAGGGTGAAGTGGTCGGAGCTTGTCGCTAGGTGGTCTTCTACAGTCGCCTGGGCGAGAACAATGTTCGAGAAGGCGAGGTCGATCGTGTTGCCATGGGCGTTGGTCGGGGTGTCAATCGGGTTGAGGAGCGAGAGATCGTTCTCGGAGGCCCAGGCCGCAATGCTGTTGCCATGACCGTGAGAGGGCCCGAACTGCCACGTGTGATGCCGCGCGTTAAAGTCGCCCGCGATGATGCACTGGCTGGGTATCGGCCATGCGAACAGAATTCCAAGGGCGGTGTCAACGTGCGGTTCCCGATAGATGTTCACCACCGTTACGCCGTTGATCGCGAGCCAGAGGATGTCTCGAGAGTAAGCGGGACGTTGCTGGTCGGCTAAGAGTCTTGCGCCACGGCGAACATATGTCATGACGCGCGGTCGCGTGTCGTTGTCTTCCCAGGTGCCGACCGGTGAGTAGGTGTCATACGCAGGATGTGTCTTGGTGAGGCAGCGGGAGTCGCGGACTTGCGTCCAGGGCTCCTGTAGTAGTATGACCTCGTATCGTTCCGCGTCAGCAAGGGCGAGTGCGCAATCGTGCGAGGGGCCATTCTTTCCGACATTGGCTTGAAAGACCCGGAAGGGTCGTTTGCCACGATGTTGTCGTCTAGGTCGTCTGTTCATAGAGACCGGTCTGAGAAGTCAAGGCAGCGCTTCTTTGGAGAAGTGGCTGGCGGCGGGCTGGAGGTGCGAATCTCAGGAGCCGGGGTTCCGAGGCGGCACGTAGAGGTGAGCGGTGGCGTGGGCGTGGACATCGAGGGCGCTGGACTCAGCGAGGATCTCGCTGATGGTGAGGGGCTTGCGGGTGGTGCTATACCATTCCCAACATACTCGCTCGGTTGTTCAGACATCTCGATGCTTTGCCTCACGGGGGGGGGAATTACTCCTTTCGCTGTGTGCCGACGAGGCTCGACTGGTGGCCGAGTCTGTGGAGGTCGTTGGGATGGCTGGAGAGGGCTTGATGGGACTGGTCGATGCTTCCGTGCTGTGACTAACGCTAGAAGCGCTTTCAATGCTTGGAGTTGGCGATGCTTGACTGTTTGGGGCAGCTGGAGCGGCCGCAGAGGCAGCGGGTGGCTCGCTAGGGCGTGGTGCAACACCTTGCATCGCAGGCTCCGGAGTGAGTCGCCATCAAGCCTCACCGTTACTGGCACATCTCTTCTTTTCCCCTTGCAGGGGATGCCACATCGCGTTCTTGAGGGAGGGGACGCAATGCTTGGCTCAGGACTGCCGAGTCTGGCACGATGGCTGGGAGAACACGTCTGGACGCCCCCTGTAAAACGCCCATCGGTCTGCGGGCCAAAATTCATGCCCACCTGAACGGTAAGTGAGTAATCGTGCGGCAAAAGGCATGCGCCTGGTCTTTTCTTAGTACCAACCCTCATAGACCATTGGCTGGGCCACCGGCCTGTCATCCCAAACTGTCGCCCATTCTCTGCGAGGCAGTTGTGCCTTGCACTAATACGCCGGCTCGGCACCAGGCGATCCGATTTCCTGCACTGTTCCGTAAGAGCCACCCGCGGGATGGAGGCGGAGCGCTAAAGGTACAGGCCACAGAAACACCTTCCAGTGAGCCGGCGGCAATCTAGCCACCCGAAGAGCGATTTTGCCATACCATGCAGCCGTATTGTTCGTTTTGCTTTAAATTCATTCTCGTCTACCTTTTGGCCATGCCCATCCCTCGCGACACAAACCAGATCGCATATTACGCAAAGCAGCACCCAATTCGAGCTCGTCTTTGCCCGATAGGTGCTATGAGCATCTGTTCAACTTGCCGCCGACATGAGAAACCTCCTAAGCCTTCCAATAGAAATTATTGCCTACATCACCGAGCATCTCGATTGCGCAGCAGTCTGCAACTTCCGCTTGGCATCGCGAAACCTTCGCGCCATATCATCATCCAGATTTACTTCGTTTTTCGGCACCGTTGCTATCATGTTGTCTCGGAATAGCCTGAGGTCCCTCGAATCGTTATCGCACGATGTACTTCGCGGGCATATCAACGAACTCGTGATATGCACTACTCATATTCTAACCCCTGTCTACGACAATATTCTCAACAAGGGTCTGAGTTTATCACAATTTGGAATAAAACTGGAAGAATCCGGCGACCGGATTCCTTCGACTTCATTCGTTGAAGTAGAGGCGGAAAAGTCGCTGGTTGATGCCCTCTGTAGACTACCGAACTGCAGGAGGATTTGCGTCACCGATTCTGGCGAAGTGAAACCCTTGGGGCTGTCTCAATTGCAGAAATTGGTCCGGCCCAGCGAACCACAAACCAGCATTTCATACGCCAAGAATTGCCATGACTACGATCCGGCAGGCAACGACCCAGATGACGAGAGAACCCCGGAAGAGGATAATCTCGAGCCACGACGGCCTGAAAGCGAAAGATTTGTCTACGCAGCGGTGAGGTTGGCAATGGCGGCAATGGCCCAATGCTCCAATGTCACAAGTATTGGCATAGAAGTTGGGTGGTTCATATCTTCCCCTGCAATTGAGCCCATTGCTCTGGTACTCCCCATGCAGCCGGCCAATGCTCCACTGAATTTCCAACAGGTCAGATACCTCACACTGGAGGTAGACCCGAGACCTATTGGTCCAATTTGCTACCTGGAGGACTTTTTTCGTCAATTTTCGCGCATCCAAGACTTGGAACTCTCATTCTGGCCTCCTGACAACACCGGTATGCTAAACGGTCTAGCAGGACTGGAATCGAAAGATCTTCGGTCTTTGAAGATAAACCGTTGGCGACAAAACTGCACGAAGGGCTTGACCGACATGTTGCGTCGCCATCGATCAACCTTTAAAGAGCTTTCCCTCATTGATGTTGAGCTACAAGCCAAAGAAGATTGTGACGGGACAAGGGCACGAACGAGGTCGAGTGCGACTTGGGTAAAACGATTGTTTACAAAGAGAGAAAAGGAGAGAGTGAGAGATTCGTAAGGAAAGCTCTCACTCAAACTATGTACAATATTCATAAAGTGAGACATTGTATAAAAAGCATATATGTCGTATGGTGATACCCTCACAAAGATTGGGCCAAGTTTCTGGATGAGCTGAATAAGTGACTCTTTTATTGTACAGTCCAACTTAGCCTTGGTGTGCATTGGTTTTCTGATGGATGGTTGCCGAATAGCACCTTTTCAGTGGGCACGTCGGCCGGAGTAAATGGACTACGGGAATTCGTGGATGTCCTGTAAGGTATGTGACCACAATGGTAACCGAGGATACAAAGGCTCCGGAATCGATAATAATGCATACGAGCTTCGACTTCTAACTTGCTAGCTTCATCCATATGCTACCTTGTTCGCTCGGGCCTTACGTATATATTCGAGTATCAGCCCTGGCTTGCCGGTAGATGAAGCTCTCCGGCTTGCGCGGCCTTTGGTTTCAGGTCGTGAAAGGAACGCGAAGGTAGGCCTGTGGGTTGGCGACGGCTCGCACTGGAGCTCGCCGGGGACGCGGCAATAGTTGTAGACACAATGATGTCCGTATGGCAGATTGATGTTTAAATGCCATGTTTCGCAAGGGTTTTGCCTTGCTTACAAGGAGACATGCTACTGTACGTCTTTCATATGCAGGGGCAATTGCTAGACGGGCCGAACCACTTTGCTACACGGGCCGCGTTACACGGGCCGTGTGGCTGAACTCCCAAATCGGGCAGTCGTACATTCCAGCGGGGGGCCGGCCTGCCTCCTGCCTGATGGCTGCTCCTGTGGCAGTAATGAATAGTTATCTGCTCCCAGCCGTTTGATTAACCGCCATCTGTAACTAT